TTTGTCCTAAAAACTCTTTGAGGAAGACTTTTAGCACAAAAGTAATGCCATAAGCTCATTCCGTATTAGAAATATTAGTTTTAGGCCTTATTATTTATGCTTTCTTAAAGATAACTAGTCTCTCACCTTCTTCTTTAATGCATAATTGTATCCTATGGGGAATGGTTTGTGAAAGCAGCGTGTAAGTTCAATAAATTAATAAAATTTGAATTTGCTTTACTTTTAATGATATTTAGTTGTGAAGAAAATATAAGTCATCAAGTTGTTTTGGCTAAATTCTTATAGTTACAAACGTCCACCTTAAGCCTGAAAATCATTGTTTAGACTTGTTAGTCTTTCTTGTTCTTGTTAAACATTTTTAGGTCTTCTTAGTCTCAACGTTTTTTTTATTCATTCTGAAGCCTTATTAGATTGATTGTTCTTATTGGGCTCGGGTTGGTCCTATGCTAGAGCTTTAATTTTCGGTATTAGCAGGCTCGGTTCGAATCCTTGTGATAAAATATTGCTCGTACTGTAATTTGTGGGTGCGTTATAAGAGTGACAATCAAGAAGTATGGATGATGGGTTGTATGGTTCTGTTGACTGGCTACTTTGGTCAGTAGTTCAAAATTAGTGACAAGGGCAAGTACCTTTAGTAGCTTTACCTTAACTTGTTTTTGTTACTACTTTTTAAGTCTTATTATTCTTGTTATGCTTTCTCAGTGTTTCTTACGTCTTTTTAGTTCACATCTTAAGTTGTACTCCTAAGTTAGTCTCGTTAACATTATATTTTTATTAATCCTTCTTAAGTTTTATTATCCGTTTTGTTTTTGATGTGCTTCATAGTTGTTTTAGTCTTTCCTGTACTAGTTAGTTCTCCGTAAGTCTTATTAGTTTCTTGTTTTGTTAGTCATCCTTAAAATCTTTTTTAATCAAATTATCCTTCAATAATCTTTTTACTGTAGCAGTTAAACGCTGTATTTGGTTTGCGTGAGATCTTGTATAAACCTAGAGTAAACGGTATGTTAAGTGTGTACCAAGTTTCATAAAAATCAATATTTGGAAAGTGTGTTTTTAATTCTTTTTAAATCCCGTACAATTTGGTGAATAGACGAAAAGGACGACGAAGAAAATCAGACGAATTTTGGCATCACATATCCTAGTTTTGGCTACACGGATTTCTTGAAATTTGGAATGTGAGGTAACCAAACTGTGAGGCAATACAGATAAAATATTCATAGAGGGATTATTAAGTTACAGATAGCTGAAAATCGCAATTCATTGGTTCCTACAAATAACATACTGTGTGCTGCGGGTCTCAATATTTTTTCTCGGCCGCACGACACACTACCGTATGTCTTGATATTAGCTAATACCATTTCAGTTAATAGTTCTATTTAATAGCAATAACATGGTCAAGGTCCATAAACAAGATGTTATTCTTTTGTCATCGCGTTTATTAAACAACTAGTATAAAACGCGTCAAAAATGACGGGAACCATTATTAAATGATTACCGAATATTACAGAATTTGACTAAAACAAATTTGTCTGTACCTACAAAATGTATCTACTCTTCACTTATTTCATCAGTCTCGAAGTAATTCTTTAATCATCACATTTTTAGTAAAAACTATACAGAAAAATGAAATGTTATTGTAAACAAGAGTAGGTGTGCACTCTGAAAGAGACTTAAATAGCACTCTCTAGTCTTTTCACTGTATTCTAGGACAGGAATTAGAAAACATAGTGCGGACATTCTGACACAAATTTTCCACTCTTTCGACTCTCTAAAGGATAAATAATACTTGGTAGTAATAAACGTTTATTTTTCTTTATGTTTTAAGGGCAAGTATATGATTTATGTGTTAAAATGCCAAAAATATTTATTAATTAACATTTATTCACCACTTAAAACTTTTAAACACCGACACAAATTTTCAACTATTTCGACTGTACGAAGGATAGAAAATATTTGATAGTAATAAACATTTATTTTGCTTTATGTTTTAAGGCCAAGTAGGTAATATAAAATAATATTTATTAATTAACACTTATTCAGCACTTAAAGCTATTTAAACACGGACTCTATAACATTAATAATAATAGGCCTATTTGTAGTCTGATTTAAACATTAGGCCTAATACATAAACGTAACGTAAGACTTAGCTACTACTAAAACATACTACTTGCTAAATTTTATTTTGCTTTTGGCTATAACTAAATGTTATAAGAATTTTGAACTAAACTGTTTTGCTGTTATATCACCGAAGTTATCAAAGGAATAGAGAATTAAAAAACTTTCTAACAAATCACTATTGAGCGTTCAACATAAACACCATAGTTGGCCTAAGAACAATCGGGTGATAGTTTTGTTGCTAAGCGACGAGGTATATTGTTGAGCATTTCCAAAAAAGGAGCGTGAAAGCGTTCTCGACAGAGTGACAAAGGCAATAAGACTTTTATAGTTAGTGATACATTACCTGATTTTCGCAGTCTAACGTTATTGTGAGAAAATAAACTTCTTAATGCATTGAAAATTTTTAGAAACAAGTATTTTGTTTTTAGCCTTCGTAATTCATCTGTTATTTAATGTATTTTAATATAAAATTTATAGAAATCGTCTGTTGCATGTTATATTGTGTTCTACTTTGATTTTGAATCCAAAAAGAAGAAAACTCGATGTAATTAGCATTCTCAAGAGATATGTGTTAAGTGACGTCTCTTTGTTCGTTCGACACGCTAATAGGACGGTGGTTTTAATTCTCGTAACATATCTGTGGCGTCGGAGTCGTTTAGCAGAGTGTTGCATATTTTGTTGATTATCTAGGTCATACTTTTAAAACTCTCATTGCGTGGCAGATAGTCTGATTATGGCATAATTAGTATACTAGATCGTATATATAATATTATGCTATCATATGATGTAATATCAGTTATAGTTTCTATATACCGTAGTTTACTTAATATTTGCGGGAATTATCTTTCGCGGTTTTACATTGAAAGTTGTTTCGCGGGTTTTAACTTTTTTGGATTCTAAGTAATTAAATCTTACAATATCATTATATATTAATGAATAAAAAATATGTTATTGGTTTTAATGCCAAATACAGTATAGCTGGGATGAAACTGGAATGAAAGATAAAATTAAGGGAATATGTTAATAAAAGATGCTTACTTTTCTGATAGTTTTAAAATGAGTTTCCTACCAGTATTAGTTATCGTTGGTGGTGTAATTGTGATTGTTTTAAGCATATGATATATCTGGTGATTCATTAACTGACCTTTAGTTTTAACAATTATAATCTCCGGCCAAAGAGACATCACTTACAGGACTGTCTTCCAGAAAGGTACATTTTAGGGCACATTTTAAAATTAAACAAACAGCGTATTAACATTTAAGTGAAAACAAAAGTATTTTATGTGGAAAATTAATTTATTGTTTTTTATCGAGTTTGATGCAAGTTTTGAATTAGAGTTCACTGCTCGTTCGGGTATTTCTGAAAGCTTATAAGAAACTTATAACAAGCTACTGTGTAATTATGAAGAAACCCTTATATCAAAGATGAATATGTGTTATACTGTCCTAGGGAACTAACGTTCAACAGTGGTATATTGAGAATCACAAGATGCATTTAAGAAATTCATTCCGGTCATGGTACAGTGTATTTCAAGGTGTTACATAAACTTTCCATCATCTTCAATCAGAATCTCAAGCCCAACTACAAATCATGCCATTGTTACCATTATTTGGTAATGGCCATTTTCGGACCTTTCAAATTTCGTGGGATATTTTTGCAGACTTTCCCTTTGAGAAATCCCCACAACCAAAAACCTGCTAATATAATGACCGGGGATTTCGCTGGCTATTTCTCTCTGTATGAGTGGTTTTGAATTTGCTTGTTGACCATCGTTGCCAATCTTATAACTTTGTTTTTACTGACATAGAAACAATCAGTGACTATTTCTTACATCGTTGAAAGAATCATTATTTATGGGTTTACAAACAGTTTTAGAATATGACTTTCTTCTGAGTGTCCGTAAATGGAAATCCTGTTTTTGACCATAGAAAAACTGTCATTATTTTGACAGCACAGTCGAGCAACAACCGCACATTCTGCTACATTAACACGCATTTTATTTAAACTACTAATTTCGCATTATTGAAAGAGAAGCAAAAGCAATGTTAATGTGCCAGGAAAACTATTTTTATACATAGCATAATACAATTTTGTAACACCTCATACCATATTCTAACTTTTCTTAATAAAAATTATAATGCTCAATGAGTCTCTAATGAAACTTTGTTCCTTTACGAAAGTAGTTTTTATGGTATAATCATTTTGAATATGAGGTTTTATTTTTAACCAACCCATAGTTTAATTTAAGGTAAATCTGATGATACGTTCTTCAGCCACAAAGAGGCTGTTTCCTATTTGTACATTTCATTGATACTTATCGCATGCCAATATATTCATGCTAACTAAATACAAAGTATGTAAATATAATAAACAACACATAATCATGAATAGTATATCATTCAGAAGTAGAAAAAACACCTAAAATCTACCTCAAGGATAATGTACGTTAACTTTGAAGGTTTGTTACACTTCAACGATTATCAATGTTAAGATCAACAATATTATTCGAAAATATGAAGCATTCAGTGACTGATCACTCACTAGGTCTCCTCCACATGCACACTGGTAGTACTGTATGTGTTTGGCATAGACTCCAAAGGAAGCTGGAAGGCGTTTGTCATGATTGTAAAACATTATTCAAGGTGTTTGTTTTGAAACTGGTTTGCAGGTGTCAGTGGAGAATTGTTCAATTTATCAAGATCCATTGACTATGAAAACGTGTGGATTCTCAATCACAAAATATCCCACACCAAAACAACCGGTCACAGTCTTTATAGAAACTGTTGTTAAACGTGTTGGCTCCGAATGACTATGGGATGCTCTTAGGAGACACATAACATCTTTTCAGGTGATCCTAGATACCAAAGATTCCTCGAAACAATTAATTTTGAGGTGTGGTTGAAGATATGCCAACATTGTCGTCAGGATACCCTTGCTGTTCGTGGTGACCATACTTCATATCGAAGTGAAATATCAACCTGTAAAGACATAAAGCCACCTCTACCAAACGATTATTTACAAGAATAGACTGAAAGATTAATTGTTTGTTTGTTTTGAAGTTAAGCACAAAGCTACACAATGGGCTATCTGTGCTCTGCCCATCACTGGTATCAAAACCCGATTTCTAGGGTTATAAGTCCACAGACATACCGCTGTGCCAAGGGGGGGGGGGTTGAAGGATCAATTATTAGCAGTGGTTTTGCATTTTTATAGTTAAAATATTATAAATTCCAATTATCTTTTGTTTCATGCAATTTACGAATATATATATATT